GCGCCGCCCCGAGGGCTGAAGCGGCCGCCGCGACCCCGGAGCGTTCGTGGGTCCGGTTCTGGCGTCTTCCCGCCTCCTGCGCCGCGGTAGGGCGGCGCCTGGCTACACCTGCGGAGACCCACACGCAGCTTCCACAAGGTCTTTAGAATTGGATCCTGCCGGTGAATAGAAACTGGCCGCGATCGGGACAGCTGATGTTTCTCCTAGGCGCGCCTTGGAAAAGGATATTTTAATTTGCAGAAGTGGCACAGAAATGTGTTTCCTAAGGGGGAGGGGAAATACCGTAAAGCTGCTTAAATCAAATAAGCTCTCGAAATATCACAGACCATGTGCAGTTTTATTTCAAATGGGGCAAAAGGGAAGACCATGTGAAGTAAGAAAGTGAAAAATGAAATATTTTCGTTTTCAGAGATGATGGAGGAGATCAAGGTGCAATCCATTCTGTTTTCTTTGGTGGTTGAAAACCTGTGTTCTGAGAGTGTTCTTGGGGGAGGGGTGGCTCAAATTAGCAGCTTCTGAGGTACTAGTATGTGGCATGCGCTATTGAAATGGGCTAGAATATTTTTACTCTTGCTGTTGATTTCCATCCCTTCACTCATTCATCAATTCATCAATTCATGCTCTGTAAAAAAATGCAGCTGGCTCGTTTATATTACTGGGTCTTTATATTTAGACATGGAAAGTTTAACACTGATGGATGACTGCAATTAAAAGCCCCTGTATGTAAATCAGTCTCATTCTAAAAATACAGTACTTGCATTTGCTATCAAGTCCCTTAACATTAATCCAGAACTTACCCTGTGTGAAGTCATTTTGTCTCTGGACACTAGCAACATTGGTAATAAGACAATGAAAAAAGATCTAGGAGCTGAAGACCTGGTCTGAGTCTTGACTTTATTCCCCACTGGCTGTTCACAGCTTTCTTCTCTAGAAGGTAATCTAACATTCCTAAAATAATGCCAATGACGCTAACCTAGCCTAACCTAGGCAAAAATATAATGGATGTGGAAGTGTTTGATGAATTGAAACTCCTTTGCAAACACGAGTCACTAAAATTATATGCTTAGAAGCATGAGAACACTTATCACTAAGAGCCACAGGTGATTGAACTATTCAAAATATTTAAGAAGAGTAACTGGGGGCAATTGAGCTATCCTGGGCTCTGTACAGAGAATAGATACTCAGGGAAGGATGCTCAACTCTCTTCATAATACTAGATCCAGTGGGAAAATATTCAAAGGACATGATCAGTGAATTCATAGAATACAAACATTCAAACAAATATGAAAAGTTAGAGAAATGCAGAACATGAATCAATGAACTAAAACAACAAAAAATAATGCCAAGAAGAGTGAAGTGCACTTTCATAAACAACTGGAACAAGCATTTTAGAAAATGATTTTTCTAATTGTTTATCAATAGCAAGAAACTTTAAAATATATATACCATTTAAATCCATGATTCCATAATTCCACTTCCTGTCATAAACTATTAAAATCATCAAAAATGCAGTCAAAGGTTATTGAACAATGATATGTGTTACTATTCTGTTTAAACTGATTACTACATGTACAATAAGCAAGAAAGGTTAAGTATAGCAAGTTCATAAGATAGACTATTTAGCAAGTAAAAAAAATTGGAGAATATTTGATAATAAAATTTTCATGATATATAACATTAAATTAAAAATTTAGATATTTAAGAGCCATAAGATTTCAGCATTGTAAATATTACTTATGTATTTAATGTGTGCACAGAAAGAGAAATGCTTGTCACACTACTGTGTCATTTTTACATATGGATGCTGTGATTATTTTCTGTAATGTTTTATATTTGTCAATCTTTCTGCAACTGACTTGTATTACTTTATAATCAGGAAAATAGATATTGAAAGGAATGCCTAATACAGTGCAGGCTATCATTTCCAACTATTGGCATTCATTTCTAAAAGTTAACATTCATATTTGGAAAGTTGAATGAAACTAACTTTTAAACACTTGTTGTGGGATTGTAAATTGGCACAAATTTTCTGAAAACTTTTTGACAATGTATATCAAGAGTCTTTATAATATTCAAAGTCTTTAAGCCAGTAATTTCCCTTCCAGAATCTATTCTAAGGAAATAATCATATTCCTACAAAGTTGATTGTAGTGCTATTTATTAAGGCAAATAAAGAAACAACCATTGAATTCCTGAGAGAGGGGCAATTAAATACATTATGGTATATCCATACAATGAAATATATTACAGCTATTAAAATATTTTGAAAGAAGTTTAATTACTCAGGAAAATGCTTACAAAATAATATTCAACGAAAAAACATGATGATACAAATCTGTACATACAGTAGGGATCTGTCTTTATATATATATATAGGCAAAAGTAGGTTTACAGTTGTGAGTACACGATACAGAGTTTATTCTTGTATTATGTATTTTTCCATGGGAACAACTGTAAGCCTACATTTGCCCACCACTGTATATGTGTGTGTGTATATATACATTTATATATATATACTGTATGTGGATTTCTATTTGTTTATGCATGTGTGTGTATATACACGCAACAAGAGAAAGAGATAGACTAAAGGAAATAAACTAAAATGTTAATAGTCATATAATGATACCTAGGTATTGGAATAATGGGTTTTACCTTCTTTGTATTTTACAGTAATTTTGACATTTTCTCAAGTAATTTTATTATCAGACAAAAAACTAAAGGCTGAAAATGAATAAAATTGTGAGTATGTTCAGATTTCAACTGTGGAAGAATACATATAAGAATACGCCCATGCATCTGAGTTATCTATACAGAGAGATTGAGAAGAGAGTTGGTTAAAATTAAGCACAACCTTTAGTGTTATAGAGACTTGATACCCCTTCTTATTTTCCTGGTTGATCTTGGCAAATAAGAAGGGGTATCAGCTTAATTTCATTAAGCTTCAGTTTCAGTCTCTTTAAACTAGAATAAAACTTGTATATTTCTGTGCATTTTTATATTGTTTAGGGATTTTTTTGGTAGTGTATGGGATAAATCAAATTAGGTAACTTTATTTTTTAAAATGCTATTGTAAGACTATAGGAAAGATCACAGTTTCAGAGGAAAAATCTAAGGAAGCCATCCTGAGAAAGCCCTGGTCCTAGGGCAGATCATCAGACCTAGCAGCAAAACAATGGGTAGTCTTTTCAGGACTGCACTACCTGGATTAACAGGATAAAATGGTTGCTAAACCTTTCTGAGTCATTCAGTTCAAGATTCAAATCCCAGGGAAGGCATCTTACTGGTTTATCATGGGATATGTGTCCAAACCCTTTGCCAAAAGAGGACTGAGCACCTAGACTGGCCCCCCACCAGGATTGCAGACT